TTCAACCACCGGTGGAGAAGATGACTGGTTCGTCATCTTCTCCGGTGGAGTAGGTGACCAATTTGGTCACATTCTCCGGTGGAGAAAAGGACCGATACTTCTCCACGAGAAGGTGACCGAATGTGGTCGACATAAATTTTTTTCAATTCAAACGGTCGTCAAAATTTTAATGACCGGTTACTTAAGATGGATAATTGGATATTGGGTTTAGATGCACCAAAATGACAAATTCAAGTGTTTAATTGCATTTTTTTTTTCAAAAAAAAAAAATCATTTTTAATAAGTTTAAAGGCATAACTAAACTTTCAAGTAAAGTGTAATAGGGCCAGTAACATTCAAAAAAAAAAAAAAAAACTTTCAAGTAAAGTTCAATGGTCTATTTGACCATTCTTTTTTTTCATTTTTTGTCTTAATTTCATATATTACTCCATGTAATGATTGAGGGAAAAACTTTGAATTTTCATTTTTTTTTCTTTTACCTATTTTATGTTGTATCTCGACTCTTGAGTTTATAATAAGAAAACAAAATTAATGGAAAAGAGAACACTTCATGCACGTAACTTCATATACTTTTTTTTTTTTTTTTGGAATAAGGATCAAATAGGCCATCGAACTACACTCGAAAATGCAATCAGACCATTGAACTCAAAAAAAGTGCAATTGGGTCCCTCAACAACACAAAATGTTACAATTAAGCCAAAAATGACTTGTTTACCTAATGAGTAGGTTACCATATTAAAATAATATTTTTTAATTTTATTTTAATAATTTAAAATAATAAAACTAAATTAAAAATTAAAAAAAATTTAAAAAAATTAAAAAAAAAAAAAGATTTTCAGTTTCGTCTCCGCTGCCGGAGACGAAGAACCAGTCTTCATCTCCGGCAGCCTGGAGACGAAGACCAGGCTGCCGGAGACGAAGATTGGTTCTTCGTCTCCGGCGGCAAACCTGTTTTTTTTTTTTTTAAATTTTATAATAAAATAAAAAAATTATTATTTTAAAGTGATAACCTCCACATCAGTAAGTTAACAAGTAAACATGTCATTTTTGGTAGAATTGCAACATTTTGCGCTGTTCAGTGGCCCAATTGCATTCTTTTTTAGTTCAGTGACCTAATTGCATTTCCTTGTGTAGTTCGATAGCCTATTTGACCCTTATTCTCTTTTTTTTTTTTTTTTTGGTCTCTTGATTATAGTGATATTTTCATTGTTGATTTTTGACTTTAATTTGTTTTCAATTTAGTTTTTAATTTAACATTTTTTAATCTTAATTAAAAATATCTTAAATATCCTTAATTTATAAAACTTTTATCAAGCTTTATCCTATTACATTTGAGGACATTTTAGACTAAAAGTAAAATATTTTAAAGTCGAAACAATTGGAAAATAAATCAAAATTGATAAACAAAAGTATAAATAATATCATTATAATCAAAGAACTAAAAGTGAAATAAACACATTGTTATATCACATTTTTTCATGTGTGTTTGCATATATCAAATATTCAAATTATCAAAAACTAGTTAATTTTATAAAATAATTCATTCTAATCTCAATCGTTTATTCAAACAATTTTGAACTTATTTATTAAGCTTTTAGTTTAATGTGTGAAAGAAAGTCTAAGACTTCCATTAACGAATTAAATATTTTAAATATGAGTTAATACCATCTGAGGTCTTTCGTGTATAGTGATTTTGCCACGTTTAGTTCTAAATTTTCAAATTGACCATCTGTGGTCCTTCGACTTTCAAATTTAACCATTCGTGGTCCAAGTTAACCACCCATGGTCATTCAAGTTTCGAAATTTAACCAGTCATGGTCCTCTTGAAAGGACCATGGTTGGTTAAAATTTAATAGTTGAAGGACCCTGGGTGGTTAACTTGGACCATGAATGGTTAAATTTGAAAGTTGAAGGACCATGAATGGTCAATTTGAAAGTTTAGGACTAAACATGGCAAAACCACTATACTCGGAGGACCTCGGATGATATTAACTCTTTTAAATATTTACAAAGTATTAGAGTAGTATAGTATCTTTGATTTACTGAAAAATTTAAAATCACTACTTGAAGATAAAGGTTGTTCCGATTAAAATAGGGCTCATGTACAATATTTAATTTTAATTTAGACATTTGACCCTATCTGTTGAGTCATTGAGGCACCCTAATTTACATCTTCCTAAATACTCTGTCGGATCGGTGTGTGTGAGGCCCTTATGGTTGGGGATTCCACCTTTAGGGAGAAGTGTCTGCCACAACTCTGAAAATATTAATGCTTCGAACCACTTGAAGGGAATCTGTCTCTATTTGAATATTATTCATGTTGATCACCTTTATCAGGGCTTCTTTGATGAAGTTGCTTCAGCCTCTCTAAGAGAGAAGATAGCACTCCATTGAATACCTTTAGCAGCGATGAACTTCCCGTTCTCATCTCTAATCACACTAGTAAATCCCATTTTAACATTGACTTTGTCAATTGCTTTGGTTTCAGTTTTCAATTTTCAGAGGACCGCGAAAGGACTATTTTGCCACTGTGGTTTCCGGTGCGCAACATTCTTGTGACTTGTGACTTTGTGTATTTCTTCAATCCCTGCACCCTAAACCTAAATCCGACGTACACCAAAATACGTGGGGTTGTTATTATGTGTCCTTTTTTGTCCACCAACAAAATTAATACACCCATTAACTTCATTAACACCTACTTCTAAACCAAATTATAATACATTAATCACTTTAAACACTTCCTAGTTCCTACTGTACAAAAGGTATTATAAATGCTCGCACGAGTTTAACTCAATGGTTCAGTAGGGAGTATTTTAGGGAAGATATACCAAGGTTCGAACCTCGGCGGCGGCAGTGTGAGGATTATGCTCAAAGTGAACAGATCTCTTGTGCGCACCGGCATTTGACCACGTCTGCTGAGTCATTGAGTCATCGTGATTTACATACTCTCAACCACTTTGTCGGGTCGGGATTCAAACTTCTGGGATAAGAAAAGTATTATACATGGTTTAATAAAAGATTAATCGAAAATAGTAAATTTTAAATAATTTGAGTAAAGGTGTAGTTAATAGATACGAACTACGAGTCTATGGTGTACGGTACTAGGTCGGTTCTGGGTTCGGATCGTGTGCCTAGCCTACTTGTTTGTTTATGTCTTTAGGCTTAGATTACGTGACAGTGGATCAGAGGTCCCCGAACTAAAGATCACTTAATGGAAAATGCCAAAATTACATTTCCCCGCAATTAATGCGGTATTTATAGATAAAGTCGGAGAACAGGTGCTGGGCCTTCGGCATGGCTAGCACATGGAGTCCATGCAGCAGTGCAGTTCGAGGTCGTAACAGGCCTAACCACGTGGAGCTAGATTCCTGGTTCCTTTAGGCGCGGTCTCCCACGTCCAGTCACGGAAACTAGTCCGGTAAGAAGTCCCGACCTCTAGGGGTCGGGGCGGAACTGCATTTACCAGTCTCTAACCCGCCTACCCCCGACTTAGCACATGCTTGGGGCTCAAGGTCGGAAAGTTACCTATTTTAGCCCGGAGGTGGTTGAGTCAGACTCTACTCGGGTCGGAGGTCTGGACCGACCGAAACACAATGAATAGCTCGTAGGGAGATAATCCTCATTAATACATTACGGGTATGAATTCTGTATCTGGTTGTTTTGATCCATGGTACATAATACAATATGGACCTGGTCCATGATATAAATTGGCAGGTTGATTACGCAACGATAGATGAAGATAGTAAAGTAGAGATTAGGATTATGAGTGGAATTTAGTGAGTATTAATGGCAAATAATGCAGACAAAAGCTAGAAAATGCAGTGAGTCAAAGGAATTAAGGAAAGGTTGGTTGAGGCTACTAATGGTAATGGGGGGAGGTACAACAGTATTAGGATCAGAATTGCCATTAATTTACCCAGTCCACTAGAGGTTACTGTATTTATTACCCACATGACTCTTAAGTGGGGTCACCACTCTGCACCAATCTCAACCATGGATGATTAAGATTAGAAACAGAAACCAACCAGGGTCACAATCCACAATTTTTTTTTTTTTTTTTTTTATGTCCACAAACACCCAAGATTTTTTTTTTTAAATTTTAATTTTATCTGCACTCCACATACACTATACAGCTATACAACCTATACTATTCTCCCAAAAATTGAATCCCCAACTCTAAAGTCTCTCACATTCTAACCTGACAGAATATGTAGAAGAGACCAAGGTTCGAACTTCGACGGCGACATGGAAATTTTGTCTAAAGTGGGCAATTTCTTGTGCGCACCGGCATTTGGTCATGTCCGCTGAACCATTGAGTCACTGTGATTTATATCCTCTCAAATGCTTTATCGGGATGGAAATAAGTAAATTACAATAACTCAACTCAGCAACAAGACCAAATGCCAATACATACAAAGAATTTATCCACTCTAAACATAATATGCATATTGTTGCTACTAAATTTGAAACATTTATCCCTTTTATCTACACTCCACATACACTATACAGCTATACAACCTATACTATTGTCCAAAAAAACTGAATCCCCACAACACTAAAGACTCATACATGACCTGACAGAATATGTAGAAGGAAGTAAATTGCTATAACTCAACGGTTCAACAGGCCAAATGTCGGTACGTACAAGAAATCTGTTCATTTTAAGCATAATTCGCATACTGCCACTATTGAATTTCAAATTTTAATACCTTCTCTCAAATATTACCTACTAAACTATTCGGTTAAGCCCGTATGGATCTATACAACGTATACTCTTCTCCCAAAATATTGAATCTCCCACCCCAAAGATCCATACACCTCAGTCCACAGAGTATTTGAGAGGATGTAAATCATGATGACTCAATAACTCAAAAGACTTGACCATTACCGTTAATGTTCGATCCCAAAATACTGTTTAATGAACCATTAAGTTAAGTTCGTGTGCCTGCTGTATATCATCAGAGTCATCCATCTACCCCTCACCCTGTTCCCTTTGGCATCATCAACTTCCCCAACCCAAATTCCAAAGTTAACCCATTCCTTCATTTCCTTCATTTCCAATTCCCTTCTTCCTTTCTCTCTCTCTCATGGTTGGTTTTCCTGTGCAATCTTAACCCTACGTCTAATTGTTCGGTGTTAAGGATTAAAAGTAAAAAGGTTGGGGGCTGAGATATCTATCTATCTATCTGGAACTTAAAGTAAAGCACCCACCTCGTTCCAGCGCTAGATGTTTGAAGAAGAAGCATGGAGGTAGGGGGTGTAGGGAGCAATAATATTGTGAAAACCCCAGAAGCTGAAACCGAGACTCCCACTCGCCTTCTCCACCATCCCAAGCCCTTATCTTTTAGCAGCAACGGTGTTCTGAAGCGTCATAATCCCCTTCACCACCACCACCACCACCACGCCGCCACCTACAAAGAATGCCTCAAGAACCACGCCGCTAGTCTGGGTGGCCACGCCGTGGACGGCTGCGGCGAGTTCATGCCCTCCCCAACCGCCTCCTCCAACCCCACCTTGCTTAAATGCGCCGCCTGTGGATGCCACCGCAATTTCCACCGCCGTGAGCCGGAGGAGACGAAACCCACACCCACTCTCGAGTACCAATCCCTCCACCGCCACCACCCTCCGCCGCCGAATCACGGCAGCCCCAATTCCCTGTCTCCGCCGCCTATTTCCTCCTCCGCCCCCCACATGCTCCTCGCTCTCAGCACCGCCTTTTCTGGCCCCCCCACAGACAGCAACACCCCAATCTCCGCTAGCGGGAGAAAGCGATTCAGAACAAAATTCACCCAAGATCAGAAACATAAAATGCTGGAATTCGCCGATAAAGTTGGGTGGAAGATTCAGAAGCGAGACGAAGAGCTTATCAACCAGTTCTGCTCCCAAGTAGGCGTGGAAAGAGGGGTTCTAAAGGTATGGATGCATAACAACAAGAACACCCATACCCTCTGCAAAACAGATCAATCTCAATCTCAATCCCAATCCAACGCCACAAACCACATTGATAACGTTAATGGTTCGGATTTTCACATCGCCAGTAGAAACCCAGAATCCCAATTCAACCTCCATCAAGAAAGCAACGGCAATGACAACCACAACCACCAGCCTCTCCGTAACAGCGAAGATACCATCGCCATTAATGGGTCATCTTCTTCTTCGTAATCTAAGCTCCTGTCAACCCGAGAATGGTAAAATTGAATAAAACGTGTTAGCTAGAATAGTCCCAGATAAAAAAAGAGAAAACACAAGACACCCAGGCTGGTATTGTTCTTGATTAGCTACAGATTATTATTATTAGTAGCAGTAGTGTTTCTTTGTTCTGCTGTATTAGTGCTCAAATTTGCTAAGGATAACAGTATAATGGAGAATTTTCTTGGTTCTGATGCGGAATTTAATTTGTTTATTTTTGTTTTTGATTCGCATCTTCATCCAATAAATTTGCATATGTGTTTTCCTTGTGTGATTATTCGAGTTTTGCCTGCAGATCAGATATGCAATCAGATTTGGTTCTGTGACTGTGCATTTAAAAAAACCAAGGAAGAAGAGAGCATAGTGATTCTTCTGATTATATTCCTGTCTCAGAAGAAGCAGCACAAAGTAGACTAAACATTCATTAAAAGTTGAAGTATAATATTCTTAATCATGTTACTTTCTTCTTAATAAATGTAATTGGTTTGTTGATTTTTTTTTTTCTTTCTTTCTTGAATTTTGTTATTGGTCTCTAAAAAAGTTGAATCCCTAATCCTGGCCCAACATAGCAGTATTTGGGATGATGCTAATCAGGTAATTCTTATATCGTGCACCAGGGCGGGCGCACAATGCATTATGCGCTCTGCACAGCGCAAAACGACGTTGTTTTGTTAAGTTGTGTGGAGAGTTGACGTGACGGAATTTGTGTATTCTGTTATACAATTATGTATATTTGAAACATGTGATTTTTTTTTTTTTTAAGAAGTTAAAGCAAACACGGGAATCAGAATTTCCAAAAAAAACAAAAAACAAAACGACATCGTTTTGGGCCAGGGCACACAATACATTTTTGTGCCTTGGTGCACAATATAATTTGCCGTAAATCAGGGTAACTCAATAACTCAGCAGACAGAACTAAATGTTGATACCCACTTTAGATATAATCTCTACATGATCGCTTACTAAACCATTAAACTAAGTCCGGTGAAATCTTTGTTATTCACTTAAATGTTTTATTGATGTTTTTGTTGTCATGTTAATCAGGGAGCAGGCGAGCAGCATAGTGTGTGTAGTACGGAGCTGTGAAAAATAAAATACACAAATTTGGGGAGTTTGCCCCCACGTCTTATATGCTCAAGTCTTGTGTAAATCACCAAAGTTTGGACTTTGGAAAATGTCATTTTTTTCACCCACTATTTTACTCCATATCTGCACATATAACATTGTATCTTCAGTTAACATATTATGTGTCTATAGTTATCATATTATGTGTATGTAGTTAATATGTTATGTGTCTTCAATTTATTTATAGATACATAAATTGTTGCCTGTCAGCATATGTCAATTGCAAACAAAGAAGGTCCACAATTTGTGTTCGATGGTATAATTTGCCCTAAGGCTTGTGTAAATCACCAAAGTTTGGACTTCAGAAATTGTCATTTTTTTTTTCACCCACTATTTTACACCAAATCCGCACATGTGATATTGTTAACTATGTTGTAAAGTTATGACATAATATTTGGTAAAATCAGTTTTGCCAATGTAGCTTTTTCTTTTTTAATTACTTTGTATTTAACTTTTAAATATTATATTGTTTACATTACAAGTTCAACTTTTAATAGGAGTAACTTATTGCATGATCTTTTTAATTTAAATCGATTATTTAAAAGTAACTTAGGTAACCTATGTTGATTTATCTCTTTGTGATCTTTTACCGACGATGATTACTAGACGAAAATTACTCAATGCACACCCTCAGTTAGTGACTGCGTACGAGTTTCCTTCGTTATTAAAAAAAAAATATGAAATGACTAAACTCTTTACGAATTAGTTACGATGTTACAATGGCTAAGTTTGTTTTTATTTTGTTTAGATGTAATTAATAGGGGTATTTCTTTTATGCAGAAAGAAAAAAGAAAAATATTATATTATTAAATGCTTTTTGTAGAAAATAATATAATATAGACAAAGTTTTGAACAAGTGCTAATTGTGGTGGATTAAGAAAACATCCCTTTCTCATAAAGTTTGAGTACTTAGCTTGCTAATAAAACAAGTTTTATGAGCTTAGTTTGTTAAAATATATGTTTACTGTTTGCATAATAATTAAACTTAGGTACGGAGTAATATAGAAATGATGAATTTGCCCAAAATAAGCCACGTTGACGATGTACAGTCCACAGAATGAAATAAGGAAGTATATTATTTGTGTATTAAATGTATATTATATAATATAATGTATATTTAGTACACGAATAATGTATTTTTATAAATATAAGATATATTTTTAATATATTAAAAATATATTATTTGTGTACTAAATTAATAATATTTGATATTACATAATGATTTTTTAAATTAGGTTTCAAGCATTCTTGGATTATTGCCGTGTTAGTGATGTTTGGTGGGATTGATTTTGGTAATATAAACCTCTATCTATTAAGTCATAATCTATGCATAAAAGAAAAGTTGGAAGAATTATCAGGAATCGAGTCTTACCAGCAGCAGTGTGGGAGCTATCTCTCAAAGTGAGGGAGGCTCCTTGTGTGCAGTAAGCAAAGGTCTAGCCTCTGTGATTCATGTTCAGTTGAGTTACCATGATTTACATGCTCGGATCAGAATTGAGTTATCATAATTTACATCCTCCCAAATACTCTGTCAGGTCGGGTGTGGAGCCCTTAGGGCGGGAGTTCAACCTTTTGGAAGAATTATACTATATACCAACATTTATTGTGATTCATTAACTATCTAATTAAAAGAATTCGTAATTTGACAATTAATCACAACACAGTATATAAGATGAGATTTTTATTGATATTTGTAACTTTATCATTGACTTAAAAAAATCAATTGTTATCCCATTAACTAGACTTCATATTACATTGTGAACCCTGATACAAAAATTATGTACATTCAGTTAACACATTTTGTATTTACAGTTAATAGTTTTTGTACATATAAACAAATAACTTGATAATTGCTCACACATCTCCCCTATACTTATATTTAGGAGTTGCCATTTGCCCCTCAAAAATGGCACCCCTTGCTTATCATTGATTTCAAATCTAATGGATGAAATTTTTTGATCTAATTTTTGATTTATTTTTTCATTTTAATTGCCCTCAATTTTTAAAGAAATAACAACTTTACCATTACTTTTTTTTGACTTCTTCCTCTTTGCCTTGATGTGATCTTTGTCTTCTTTTTTCTCCATCATTCCAACACTCCATTCTTTTTTTCTTTTTTTTTTTGAACATTTTTTTTAGAAAACCACTACATTATTCTTGCTAACATCCCCATTCTCTCCCTCAAAACCAAATATAATGTCCTCCCGCATGTTCCTAATTCAATTCTTGTATATCATGTTGGTATCTAAATAACTTAATTATGTATTCTTATTTATTTTGTCATATAACAATTATTAAAAATTATATATATTATTATTTAAAAATTAGAACACACTCGTTTTAAAAATAAAAATAAAAATTAGAACATATATAATAATTGACTGTTGGGCATGGCGTTTTGCGCAAAGCGCGTGTCCTCGACTAATAATATGATAGCTACAGGTCCAGAAACTATCAACTGCAGGTACATAACGTGTCAACTATAGATATAGAATCTGAAAGTTATTTTTAGATAATTGTTGACACATAATATGATAGATACATGTACAGAAATTATCAACTGTAAGTACCAAATGTGTTAATTCCCACCCCTATAATTACCGTGTTTTTAGACACTCATAATTTTTTAGAAAAAAAAAACTATTTATTTTCATAGATTAGTAGTGAATTGACTAATCCACATTGAGTTAATAAAGAATCTCTCTATTCAACAAAAAATATATATTAGGGAGTGAAAATTGTAGGGGTTTCAAGAATATATATATACTGGACTTACTTAATACAAGTGGTTTGAAAAGAGTGTATATTTTTAAAAGTATATACACTTTTTAAATAGAAATTATACATTTAAAAATATACACTTTATGTTAAACTGTTAAGCACATTGTGCTTAGATGTCATGTAGTGACTTCTCTCATGTGGGAGGTCATAAGATTGAGCCTCAGTGGAATCGTTGTTGTCTCTTTAAGCTTCATTAGGTTGAACAGATACTACAATGTAATAGAGTCAGTAACATTCAAAAAAAAAAAACATATTTAAGTAATACTTAATAAAGTATTATTGTTGTGTAGGACTATATTTGTTATTATACCTATTATTTTTTATCATTCTAAATTCAATCAAATAATGAAATTTGTATTCTCAATAATTTTTTTCATACCAATCAAATAATAGAATTTATTTTTTTTTAAATTTATTTTTTTATAAAATTTCAATTCCATTTATCTTTAAATATTTTCTAGCGAACTAAACGTGGTTTAATAGTAGCAGACTAGCAGCAGCTAGGAAAATAGACTCAACCAGTCAACCTCCTACTGGGACTGGGAGAAATGTTTTTAATTGGTAATATCACTTTCCTTTCAAGTGAAGGAGTTATTAAGTCTTTGGTAATTATTAGAAGGTGACGAGAGATCACATGTCTTGTCCATCAACCACTGGGAAGGTACCTAGATTTAATTTATTATTTTATCTCATTAACTAATCGTTTTGAAGGTACCACTGGCTTGATTTTTTTGTTGATTTTTTTTTTTTTTTTTCAATACATGAAGGAGAGAGAAGAAATTAAAGAAGAGAAAAATGAAAAAAGAAGAAGCAGACAAAAAATAAAATAAATAAATAAATAAATAAATAAATATCAAATAGGCCATCTAACTACACACCAAATTGCAATTAAGTTATTGAATTCAAAAAAATTATAATTGGATCCCTGAATAACACAAATTCTTACAATTTAACTTAAAATGACCTTTTTACCTCTTAATATGTTGACATGTCAGTTCCTTTATTTAAAAATAATTTTTAATTAAATAATTATTTTAAAATTAAAAAAAAAAAAACAGCTGGAGATCCTCCGTCTCCCGGTAGCCACGGAGAAGCTATTCCATGGCTGGTCGGAGACGAAGGGGTCCCCTTTGTCTCCATGGTTGGACAGAGAGGAATAGGCATGCAAAGCAGAGGACTCTGAGGGATGCAAAGACCATAATCCATAGTACCCTTTACATACATTAGCACACGCTTCAACTGTACCCCGTGTGCTGTAGATGAAGAGTGCATGTGCTGACACAACTGGTGCACTGCAAAGAACAAGTAACGCCTATTAACTGTCAAATACTTTAGAGCACCTACTAAGCTCCTATACTCTGTAGGATTCTCATATGATGAGTTGACGATAAAGAAGTTGGAGCAATCGCAGAAAGATCACCAGTCGTAACGGTGCGCTCGGAGGATGCATCAGAACCGCCACCGTGGGAAGCCATCACCAAAAATAAACCAGACTAGTTGATACCAGATGAATGTTTAGGGTTGAAGTAACGTGTGTATTGAATGAATAATAATCATTGATAACACAATAGTCCTATACATATAGTATAGAAGTAAAACTACACTAAGACACAACTTATAGAGTCCTAATAAAGATTGACAAGTGCTGAGAGATAAAATTGTTAAATAGAGACGGATAAACTCAATAAGGGGGCGTTTGGTTCAGGTTATATAACATAACCAAGGGAATGTGACATTCTAAAGCTCACATTCCTATGTTTGGTTCACATTATCTCAGGGAATCTAACATTCCCTCCACATAGGATTTTGAAGGGAATGTGATTCTCTTCAAAATCTTAGGTAATGTAAGATAATCTTGGTTATGTTAGTTTATTATTATTATATATATATATATATATATATATATATATATATATATATATATATATATATATATATATATAAAATTATTTTTGTAATTATATATATTTTTATTTTTATTATGTTATGTTAGCATATAAAATAATTTTGTTTCTCAAGTTCAAGATTTTAGTTAATATTTTAAAATCATGTAATTATATATGATACCGTTATCTTATTTATTTATTTTAATTTTTAAATTTATTAAAATATATAAAAATATGTTAAGGATATTATAGTGTGTATAAAAGATAACCCTAAACCAAACATGATTATATTACATACCCCAATTTTAACCAAACATAGGAATCTAACATTCCCAACAATCTAACATTCCCTAAGGTAATCTGACATTCCGTGAACCAAACGAGCCCTAAAGGGTCAAATCTAATATCCTACTTCTAAAAAATGAGGTAGTAAAAATTCACATATTTGTATCTGATAAAAAAAAATTATGGACCACGTGGTGGGATGAAGCATATGCTTCATTTATAAATATAAAAATTGACCCTTAATTAGCTTGGAAAATCGAAATCTGATTGCTGGGTTAAGACACTACAGGACCACCGTACCCTATCGCATACAAAAAGGGCATATGTGATATATGCCATTTTCAAATCTCTTGCATCTTCCTACCCTGCATACGTTTTCACTTTCCCATTAGTCATTACATAATCGAACATTATTATTGAATGGAATTTATAACCACAACCTAAGGGAATGATCTATTAAATTGAATGGAATTATCCGAACCACCTCTCACGTCATCATCATCACTCTTATTTATATTTCATCATTCGCGCATTTAATTTATTTCAACTTCTAATTATAATCCCACTTTTTTTAAACTATACCAATAAATATTACTTTGTTCCCTTCCAAAATTTTTTCCTCCTAAAATCTTTCCTGACATAACTTATAACCGATGTTATAAATTAGTTTACCCCACTAATTTATTATCAAAGACTAAATCAATCAATAGAAAAGTACATTATATTGTTAATGAGAAATTAGTTAACAAGTGGAGGCGTTATTACTAATGGTACCCGGGTTGGACTTCCATTTGGAGGATTATGAGTTCAAGCCTCAGTGGAGGCGTTATTGGTTCTTTGTGTTTCAGTAGGTTGAGAAAGTATATGAACACATACTACAATACAATTACTAAAGTCTATTCCTTCAGCCAACCAAACTATAGAATACAATTCTTATTCTATTCTTTATGTATTCCATTCCCAAAGCCAACCAAACTATAGAATACAATTCTTATTCTATTCTTTATGTATTCCATTCCCTGTGGAATGACATTCCTATTCCCTTCAAATTCATTCCGTGAACCAAACATACTGTTTAAGTTTTAACAACTATTCACATTAAGCACAAACCCACGCACATTAAGCACAAAACTCACGCACATTACGCACAAGACTCACGCACCTTATATACAAAACTTACGCACATTAATCACAAAATCATTCACCTTAATTTTGACCTAGATGCAAAAATTATAAAATTGCCACCGTGTTTTTTTTTTTTAAATTTTGGTAATCTTGGACATTGATTGAAGCGAGATGAATGGCTCAGATTAAATCGCACAACCGCACCTGAAGCGCTCACCCGCACGAGATGAATGGCTCAGATTAAACCGCACAACCGCGCCTGCAGCGCTCCCTTACCTTTTGTTACAATTTCACATTTAGTCCCAAACTATTAAATTTAGGACACTTTGTTCTTTTGGTACCTTTTTTCAACGAAGCTCTATTTTAGGCAAGGGTAATTTGGTCTCATTGTCATTTTTAAAAAAAATCTTTTCTAGTTTTGTTCATCTATTTTGCCTGTTCAGCCCCAAAACCACCTTAATCCCAGTCAACAGAAAGAATCGATAGAAACCTGGCGAGAACAGGAGCGGATTCTCATACCCCTAATTCATGTTTGAGCTCAGTCCAAGCATGGTGAAAGACAAAGTTGTGGTGTACGTAAACTCTCTCTTGAACTTAGAGTTTCCAGAAGAAAAGCAAAAGCTCAACGAAGGGGAAGTTGTTAGCTTGATCAATAAATTTTTTAAGGGCAGAACTGATACAACTGCCATCGCGTTGTAGAGGATCATGGCGAATCTAGTTAACAATCCGTTAATTCAAGAAAAGCTCTACCAAGAAATATCCCCCGCCATAGGGCC